CTTTATGTGGCAAAAAGGACTTTGCCCGTGGGATTAAGTTAAGAACTGTGAACTGGGAAGAGATGCCTGGATTGTCCAGGTGAGTCCAATATAACCACAAGAGGGAGGCAGGAGGGTCAGAACCCATGAAGACGTGGTCAGGGAGCAGAGGTTGGGGCAATGTGATTGCTGGTGGGAGTTGCAAGACAAAGGCTGTGGGCAGTTTGTAGACGCTGGAAAAGGCAAAGAAACAGGTTCTCCCCGGAGCTTCCAGGAGCGATGTGGTCCTGCCAACGCCTTGGTTTTAGTCCAGTGAAAAGCCATGTTGGACTTCTGACCTCTGGAACTGTGAGGCAATACATTTGAGGTTTTTAAGCAACTAAGTTTGTGGTCCCTTGTTATAACAACAAGAGGAAGTGAATACATCTGACACCTGCCATTAACAGAGGGAGCTCTCTGCCTCGGGAGGGTAATCCCTTTTTCTTGGCCTAAAAGGCATTACATTAGGGAGCATGATGATTTTCAAACATTTAATAGAAAATTTAAAGGAGCAGGGTAGTTGCCTTACTTGAAATCATATGTGGAAGCCCAGTGTGAGGCAGATGAGAGTGGAGATTTTTGGTGGCTTGGGGCCTGCTGGGCAGGGCTGGCAGAAGGCGTGGGCAGGGCTGGAGATATCTGTTGCTATTGACCTTGTCTTTGGGGGAAGGCAGGCATTTGTGTACTTGCTTGGTTGACAGCTTCTGGCACACACCAAAAACTCACTGGAATTGCGTAGAATTTAAGCTGCTATTGTTATAAATGAGCCTTTACACATGGATCTTATCTGGGGTGCTCTACACAACTCGTACGAGTAGACCTCATCTTCAAGGCATGTGCATTTCTTCCAAGATCCTCGTTTCAAGCCCCTACCCTTTGCGAGCCTAAGCCTGGGGGGGATGGTCATCTCTCTCATACAAATAGCCATCAATGCGACACATCTAGAAAGAGCTACAACCAGTTTCCCATTGTTCCTGAAATTAACTTGTCTAGCCTTCCAGATCCCCCAGGTGTCT